GCTGCAATAACGTGGGTTATTTTCCCCTGACATACTTTCATCTTACTTTTTGCTTCTGTCAAAGTGCTTTGTGGTCACCTATCAGCACATTCAGACCTCTCTGCTCTACTATGGATTTTGCAAATCTATTCTAGTATGAGGCATCTTTTTGGATGAGCCAGAAGGGCACAACTACAAAACAGAGTACACTGGCAACATTTCTTCTATGGAACCCTTAAGCCTATCAGGGTCCTCTAAAGCAGGTACAGGACAAGTAGAGGACTGAATTTTATTAGAAACATCAGAGTTTGAAAACAGCAGAAGGGCAGTCTTTCTTTATTTGCAGACTGCAACGTATTTTCTTTTTAGTCTAAATTTAATAAGATATTTAAACATAAATAACCATTAATAGATGGCTGGCCAAAGGCTTGTCTGTTCTTTACAGCAATCTCAGCTGACCTAAGGAAAAAAAAAATAAACCCCAAAAGCCAAAACAACTGCATCTTCGTACAAACTTTGCCATCATTATATCCCTGGATCATCGAATCGCATTAACAAGATCTCTCATTAGCGATAATGTTCTTACCATTGTATTCACTTTCTGTAAGAACTACTTGATCCTGAATGCAGTTTTCTTCGTATTCATTTTGAAGTGTTTCTTCAACATTTTCTTGAGTTTCCACCACTTGGCTTGATTTGAAATTCTTGATTTTAGCAGGGAGCACCAACCAGTCTCTATGAGTTACCTCGATGACCTTTTCACACAAAAAAGGGAGCCTGGAGTTCCGTATTCTGTCTAAAAGTTCAATAACCTGTGTGATGCTTTTGAAGAAATGCAAAGGATAAAGTAGTATTTTGAAAACTCTAATCATACACAGTTATTCTCAGTTCTGCTGCCTTTGTCACGTTCTCTGCCTTTGAGGTCACATGAATCCTTCAACTTTAGGGTAAAGGAGCTGACTACTTGATTTGGAAAGCAGTAGTTGTTTTGAAAATATCTTTAAACTCCCAGTGATTACAAGAACATTCCCAAAGTGAAGGCCAAAGTATTTGGCCAAGTGTAATTTATACTGAGTGCAACTCCCAAAAGACAGAATTTCATTAAACATTTCATTGATGCTGGATGTATTTTTTTAAAGATGTTTGGGTTTGTGATAATGTTCAGTGATGCCCAAATAACAGTGTAAGTGCCAGAAGTAACTTACTTTGCTAGATACACAGCACACACACCACCCTGTTTCAGACTTGGCTGTACAACAGGCAGAGCAGACTGAGGGTTAACCATATCCAGAACTACCTGTAAGAGGAAGACACATGTTTTCCCAGTACATATTAATATAATCTATCATTTTTTTTTCCATAACAGTGCTTGACAACAATGTTAATCTATGGAAATCAACGCATACAACAGCATTAAGTAATCACAAACTAGTTTTATTACTGCCTCTCAAAACCTCAAGAGAAACCCGAGGTCCACACAGTTACAAGACAAAGACCTTGCTACTTCCAGATGAATCTGGAAACAGCAAGTAGCATTTTCAGATTCATTCCAGTGCAATAGTCACATGTTAACATTAAACTTCCTACTAATCCAATTCCATAATGCTGACATTAATAAAAAAATGCTTAGAAGACTGCATTTGCCAACACCTTTGGGTATTTAGTTTTCAAATGTAAAAAAAGAATAAATGTTCAAGTGCATCCTTATGATGAAGGGATCGCAATGCAGCCTCAATGTCCAACTTGCTCTTTGTTTCAAGATTCAGAAAGCTTCTGTCTGTGGCAGTTTATCCACCTTCTGCTAGAAAACTATTCAAACTGCAAATGGGACAGGCACTATCTGATCTTCACTGTTAAAGTTTTAAACTAATGGTGCATATACTCTATTTTATTTCTTTGCTCAAAGCATTTAACACAACTGTCATGTGTTTAAAGTGTTGCTGTACGTAGACTTCCTGCTTTACATGGCAGAATGGTTAACACCTGGCTGTTTTCCCTGGCAAAATCTGGAATAGAAAGCAGGACAAGAGAGTGAGCAATGGCATTCCTTACTTTAAACTAGGCCTTCATTACCTTGTGTGTTCTATATAGCTGATAGCAAAGTGTTTACGTATTTATATTTTCAATAAGCTTATGTATTTTTAAATTTAATGTTTGAAATACACACCTTAGATACAAAAATATCTGTTTCTCAAAAATACAAGAAAGTTTGTCTTTGCCTAGAAGGCAGCAGTGATTAATTGTGGTATTTCTCTACAACAGCCACATCGGTCTTGAGTTTGGGAGCCTGTAACTGAAACCTTAAAAATACTTGTAATCTGACCAAAACAAAAAAAAAAATAGAATGTTTCTGTCACTGATGAAGATCTGTTTTTTCTCACATTCAACCAGATATGGGAATCCCACTGTGAGTATGAGCTGCTTGAGGTCTGAATTTATGCAGAGAAAATAAGTATAAAATGGCAGGATTTTTTTGGACTTACTGCATCAAGTGTTAGCGATTTCATATCCATGGCTGCTGTTGAAATGTCTTTAAGAATGAAATCCACATTATCTGGCCACTCTTCTGTATGTCCTATTTTCCATGCAGCACACCAGTGCCTGTAATTCTTCTTAGCTAAACTATGATGATCATCTCTGATTTCATAACTTATAACACGTCCTTTGGGCCCAACTGAAAACAAAGAAAGACACCAGGCTTACTGTTTTTCCCTCAATAACCAGTTATAAAAAAGTAGTGTAGTAAATATCAGAAGTACACCTTTCAACTTTAACTTCACTTTAGGGAACAATCGCATATGAAGCAATCAGTTACAATTTTTTTTTCCTTTACATTTGAAGCAAACACATGCAAATAAAGTGCTGGATTAGCTCTTTTACAGACTGAAATCCATCAAACCACAGGTGAAATAAAGCACAGCTATAGTACTCCAAACTGTTCCCTAGATGTCCTCCCAAACAGCTCCTGCAGCAGAAGATAACTCCAGCATCTACGGCCCTCCCTATCTACAATTCTCCTGCTGGAGCTACCAGAGATACCAGCTGAGGAAGCTGCAACACTGGTCACTACAGACAGTGAGGCTTCTGTTGTTAGTAAGGTTTTTGACAATCCTCATTTTCACGCACATTTGCTGTTTTCCTTGCACAGTTCTTTCTTCTCCTGTTCTTCTTAGGGCTGGGGAAAGGCTGAGAAGCCCCCCCCGACCTGCTTACCGATTTCAGCTCCACAGACAAGTTTTCAAGTGTACTCTTTAATTTACACAGCTGGTGTTAATTTTCCTGTTATTTTTCCCCAATTGTAATAAAATAATTTATTACTGGCTTTAAGTATAAATTTCCTACCCCAAAATCCATGTCCAGTACACAATGTTCATAAAGGAAGTGTTACTGGGATATCCAGGCACAGAGAACAGGGTGTGTCTTGCTGTATTATTTGATCCTTGTATTACTCTTGAGTTCTAAAAACTACCACACTATTAGCTTCTCTTTCTCCTTGCTACTTTGTAATGGGAGAAAGCAGCTGTCAGGTATCAGGTGCTCAGGGGGTGAGGCTCTGTGGCTTTGTTGGACAGTTTAGATGGCAGTCACCAGGCTCCCTCCTTCCCTCACCCACATGATCTGACTCTGAATTCATTCACAAATGTGTAACCTGACCCTCTCCCCGCCACCCCCCTCTCCCCCCAGAACTCCTTCATCCAGCCCAGAGGCCCCTAACAAGAGGAACATGCAGCTGATGGAGTGAGTCCAGAGGAGGCCACAGAAATGCTCCGAGGGCTGAAGCAGCTCTGCTCTGGAGCCAGGCTGAGAGAGTTGGGCTGGTTCAGCCTGGAGAAGAGAAGGCTCCTTAAGGGGAGACCTTAGAGCAGCTTCCAGTGCCTAAAGGGGCTACAAGAAATATACAGAGGTACTTTTGACAAAGGCCTGTAGTGACAGGACAAGGGGGAATGGTTTTAACCTGACAGAGGGGAGACTGAGATGAAACATTAGGAATAAATTCTTTCCTGTGAGGGTGCTGAGGCCCTGGCACAGGTTGCCCAGAGAAGCTGTGGCTGCCCCATCCCTGGCAGTGTTCAAGGCCAGGCTGGATGGGGCTTGGAGCAATCTGGTCTACTAGAAGGTGTCCCTGCCTGTGGCAAAAGTTAGAACTGGGTAAGATTTAAGGTCCCCTCCAATCCAAACCAACCTGGGATCTACAACTGTGCTGCTTCCATGTATTATATAAGCAGCTTCTTACCTGCTTTTGACAGAAACAAGGTCAAAGCACCAGAGCCACTGCCAGCTTCCAAAACGGTGTCTCCCGGGTGGATATCAATCATCGTTAATATAGCACTTATATCCTGCAGTGAGAAAACACCTAGCACATTACCAGTCTTGGAAACTAAGAGTGAGGTTCAGCCAGTGGCTGCTCCCGGTCACCAGCCATCCCAGTGAGCAGCCAGTACCTTAGGATAGGTAATAGTGGGCCCCCGCGGCATCAGCAGCACATACTCCTCCAGCGAAGGACGCCTCACTTGCAGCCGCACCCCGGCCGAGGTACGCAGCATCTGCCCGGGCATCTGGCCGATGATATCTCGGTGGGGCAGGAGGCCACCGTTGCTAGTCAACACCGAGCCCGCCACCAGCCGGCACATCAGCTTCAGCGTCCTGTTGTACTTCCTCTTCATTTCCGCCAGCACCAGTTCCCCAGCGCGGAGAGAACCGGGCTGAGCTGCTACCGCCTCAGGAGAAGCGACCGCCTTCTCACTAGAAGCCTGAGGAGCCGCCGCGCACAGCTCCACCTCCGCCGCTTTCTCCGGCGGCAGCATCCTCCTCACCCTCTCCAGCGGCGATAACGACTTCTCCCATGCCCTCCTCGGAGGCTTCCGGCCAGGGCCCACCCCTTCGCCGGTGGAGAAGGAGCAGGCGGCGGTTCTCCTCAGTCCGCTACAAGCCCTCATGAGGAGAGAAGCGGGAAAGAAGGCACTCAGCTCTTGCCCGTCGCGCCTGCGCCGCGCACACCGATGAATGCGTGGCGTCATTGGTGTGCGCGGCGCAGGCGCGGGGAGCGAGCACGCGGAGGGCCGGGCAAGCAGCGCCATGGCGGCGGCAGCCCCGCCGGTGGGGGCCGTTTGCTCCTTTTCCCCCCGCGATTGCCGTTTCTTCGCCATCTCCAGTTCGGATGGGCGCCTCCGGGTGTGGGAGACGGCGAACAGTCGCTTGCAGCATGAGTACGTGCCCTCCGCTCACCTCAGTGCTGCCTGTACTTGCTTGGCGTGGGCCCCGCCGGGGGGACGGCAGCCCCCCAATAAGGTACAGGTGAGTGTGTGAGGGAAGGAAGTGAGCGCGGTGGGATACCGAGGTAAAGGAAAAAGAACGGTGGAGCCATGAGTGGCTCTGACGCGTGACCGCGGCCCGCTCGGCTTCACCCCGCCCTCCCGGCGCCATGTGGCGGGTGGTCGGCGTGGCCGGGCAGTGGAGATGCGGTGGATCGGTGCTGGGAACACTGAATGGTCAGGGTTGGAAGGGACCTCTGGAGATCATCCACTTTAACTTCTCCTGCTAAGGCAGGGGCACCCAGAGCAGGTTGCACAGGAGGGTTTTGAATGTCTCCAGAGAGGGAGACTTTACGACTTCCTTGGGCAGCCAGTTCCAGTGCTCCGCCACCCTCAGCATAAAATTTTTCCTCATGTGTTTTAGTTTATGGCCACTGCGCCTCATCCTGTCGCTGGACACCACTGAAAAAAGTCTGGCACCGTCCTCCTGGCACCCACCTTTGAGATACTTTCATGTATTAATGAGATCCCCTCAGTCTTCTCCAGACCAAACAGGCCCAGTTTCCACAGCCTCTCTTCAGTAAGAGAAATGCTCCACACCTCCTATGGCCTCCGCTGGACCCTCTCCAGTAGCTCCTTGTCTGTTCTTGTACTGAGAAGCCCAGAACTGGAGGCAGTGCTCTACATGTGGCCTCACCAGGGTCGAGTATGGGGGTAGGGTCCTAGGGGCAAGCATAGGGTTCTTCGAGGTTAAGTCGGGGCACCCTGCTGAAGGTGCTGGGCATGTTTATGCCTGATGTCCCCTGGTATGTGTGGGTGGTGCTTGGGGGCTCTGCTTCCCTCAGAGGAGCCTTGCAGCATCAGTCCTCACAAGGCAGGTTTCACGTGGTGGGGGAAGCAGTACTGGAGGGTTTAGTATTATTATTAAAAAAAAAAAAGGGGGGGAGTGTGCCTGTCAGCAGAAGCTGTGACTGTAAAATCATTTATCTTCTGTATAACCTGCATGGAAGAAACCGTCCTTGAAGGAGCAAGGTATGTTACTTCATGGCATATCCCACCTTATTCATAAAGGATGCTGCAGAGCAGGTCGGCTGCTGTGCATATCTGCTTAGCTTACAGTTCACATTCCAGTAAAGGCAGTGTCTCTCCACACTTCTTAGCTGTGGAAGCATCTGCATTCAAGCTGCTATGCTGCCCGTGATGGATCTTCCCAAGCTCAGGAGTCCTGTGAGAAGGTTGGTGGCTTTATTCAAAGCACATGTTAGAGGGCTTGGATGTTCTCCATTTGAGTTTGGCTTTTTAACTTCACCTCAGGTGAACACTCAACCTGAAAATAGTGTATATAGTAAGGTACATTTTCACCCTCTTTGTGTTGAAGTAATCCTGTTTTCTTTAGTTAGGACCTATATTTTTTCTCAGGAAACAGTATCCTTTGGATAAAGTGTGTGAAATCCATCCCCCCCCCCTTTGTCATAAGATGTAGGGAGGGATTTTAAAGATGATTTTTGGTATATTAACAATTAAGTATATTTGAAATGCCATAAGAGATATTTCAGAACACTCAGCACAGACTGCCAGTCCAGAGGAAATTGGTATAATCTCTTTTTTCTCAGTTGAGCATCTTAGTCGCTGAACTCTGAAAACTCCCAGAACATTTGAAGAATGCTGCAGAAAAGGTCAGTTTTAGATTGGCCTTAACCTGTTCATTCATCATGTAACTTTGAATAAAAAAGGATCCGTGCATTAACTGCAGGGCTGTGGAGGTGGTTCTTCAGTGTTAAATACCTGTAACTGAGGGTTAATGCATCCTGTGTGAAATAAAGCTGAAAGCTTATATAGTGCAGTGCTGTGGTGCTCTAAGTCAAGCACAGGAGGATTCTGAGTGACTTAAAGGCTAACCCTTTCCTAGAGACCCACCCCTAAACCCCACAGATACTCCAGTTTAACCTGATTTAGGGTTGTATGGAAAATGGACTTGATCAGACAGCATTTGGCTATCTTTCAGTGCTCTTCAATTATTCCAGTAGCTTGAATGTTCTCCCCTGAATGAAAGTTGGTATGTTTTCAAATGCAGCTGGAAACATACCAGTTCTTGGGATAATTATGCCATAAACTTTTATAATTCATTAGTTTGTTCTTAGACTGAACTGAAGAACTAAAGCTCTGATGGTTCTGCAAATACATTTTATTGAATGTGGGTTTTCTGACATTAGTCTTGGTTTTCCTTTTTTTAATTCCTGGAGAGTTGGCATCTCTGGGCAGTACTAGCATCTGATCTTCAGGAGTAAAACCGTGCCACTGGATATTTGCAAATGGTGTTTGGCCAAATTACACCTAAACTAAGTATGTTTTGGGTTGCTACCATGTTAATGAAGGCCATGTGTTACATGGGAATATTAGGAATTCCGTTTTGAACTGCAGGCCCTGGAATTGCTGATGCAGTGGTGGCTTATTGGGATGTTCCCTGCATACGTGCTTTTGTAGTGTCAGTACTTCCTGCTTGCAGTGTTCACCTCCTCCTGCTCTGTGAAGTGGTGCCTTGTGCAAGAATATGTGGACCACCAGACTTTCAAAAATACCTTCTTCCACTTTCTTCCTATTAAGCTGCAACTGCTCTGTCATCTAGAGCTCTCAAGATTCCTTAGGCTTCCTGCCTGTTTCAGTGTGTTAAGTGCTTTCCTTCACGTGTGGCAGCAGAGATTGGATTTCTGTTGGGTTTTTTGTTTTTGAAGTCTCAGTGGTTGACCTACTCAAGAACATTACGGACAAATGAGTGCACAGTCCTTTCTCAAACAGCTTCTCATAGTCAACTCTACTAATTAAAACTGTGCTTTTCAGGCAAAGTTGAAGGATTTCTAAATAAGCTTGAGTTCAAATCAATCTGAACAAAAGTAATTAAAAGGAAGTTGGTACTTGGTATAGTTCAGCTCGCCTGTCCTACCCATGAATACAGGGTGCAACAGTGGACTTGAGTGGGAATTTTGTTGTACCTTTGGGTTTTTCTAAGGGAAGTTGGCCATAACTGAAATGGAGAGTGAACAAGTTTTAGTTAAAAGATGTATGTAAGGAAAAAGAATAAAACCTATTCTTAATTGTGGCTTTGCTTTGCAGTGGGAGTGTGTGGGGTAGTCAATAAAACTGTATGAAGAGATGGAGAGCTACCAGAAATCATATAAACTGTATTCTGTACTTACATCTCCACTGGCTATGTGGCCCTTGTCTTTGTATGTCGGACAGCAGTTTCAATGTGGCTTGGATGTCATTGCTGCCAAAAGTTTAGCCAGTTGAGTCTTTTCTCATATATTGTCTTAAAACCTGGTTGATTTACTTGATTGTGCGTTGTGACTGTGATGGTTTCTCAGCATCTATGTTTTTGTAATATTTTCATAAACGCTTTTCTTTCCCAGGAAAGATGAAGACTAAACAAATGCTTGCAAAACCCCCAATGTAATCTCTTTTCTCAAGAGCTTGCTTTTGAGGTAAAAGTATCTATGTAGCATTTTGGTATTTATTGGCCTAAACTAAAGCACTTTTCCTTGCAGAAGATGTGTTAAATGCAGAGGAGAAGAAAGTCCCCCTTCAAAGAACCAAAGTATTTACCCTCCTGTGTTTAACTTTTAAATCTTAGTTGTGGTGAAAACTCCTAAATCTCTGGACCTGACTAAAAATTACTCACTTTGTGATGTCTGCTGTATGACAGATTAGCTGCACCACATGGAGCTTGCACAGAGCTGATTGCTCACATTTTATCAGATTCCTTTGGCTGCTTCTTTCTGCTCATCAGTGCAAATATATCTGTTGCTTAGAGGAAGTGTTAGCTTGTGTATATGTATTTGTTTTTAAATTTGGAGAGCATGCCCTCCTGTCCTCTGCAGAGCAGGATACCGCTTTCTTTTTGAGAGGCATTATGAATACTTCATATTTGCAAGAGTTTTCTGAATAGCTTTTGGGAAAAAAACCTCATCATTCTTGATCAACTCTTTTCCATTTTCTGGGTAAAATATTGAGATTATGTTAATCTTTACCTCTGCCTCTGGGATATGAAGTTTATGAAAAACTTAACTGTTTTTTCCCTTCATGTATGTGGTCACTAGGCTAGCAAAATGGCCTCCACCAAATGTTTCTAGGTGACTCATAGCACTTGGATACCTTGCTCATGGAGGTACCAGTTGAGTCGCTAGGTTGGTGTGCACTTCAGTGTCTTCATTTTGTGTCTTGGCAGAGTTTGTGCTGGCTGACCGGGTTTCAGACTTACAGAAGATTTTTTCCCTTCTGCTTTAACACTGAGAGTAGATGGTCAGAATAATATATTTCATCTTTTGTTTTTATTTTTGATTTTCCAGGATGGTCCACAGAGGAAAAAACGGAAGTCTGAAGATGCAGAAGTGGACAGGCAATTAGATATCCTGGCTGTTGGTACAGCAGTTGGTAGCATTTTGTTGTACAGCACAGTAAAAGGAGAACTACAGAGCAAGCTAGTAAGTAATACACTCTTCATCACATGCTACCAAATACTGATGGTTTCAGTCAGTTTATGATGTTCTTTCTGCTGCTCAAAAGTAGAATAAACAACCTAATTATATGTGTCTTTTTCTTAATAGCTGTGTATATTGATAGAGATGCACTAATTCAGGTGCTTGGGAATCTTCAAGTGGTGCTTTTCTTTGTTGGCAGTATGTATGCATTGAGAAATCTTGGGTTTGAAGTTAATGTGATATCTTAACATTGTAACATTGAGCACGGATTTGTTATGTGTCATTCAAATCAGCAGCAATGATGCAACACCCAACTGGGGAGTTAAGTGCACTGTGGAAGTGTCATGCTCTCAGTTCATGCATGGTACTGTGGGAGAGGAGGGCAGGACTGAAGTACCCATTGATTCTTGGGAAGTTGTTGTGTTGATGGACTGAGATATGCTCATTTTCATTCTTCCTTTCTCATTGAGAACTTCCCTGTTACTCCTGAGCACTTTTAGTCTTGGGTTATGTACTAAACAAAATAAATCTGTATGAATGACTCTGTGCAATACTTTAAGGTACTTGCACATACTTTTGCTTCTAAGCTGGTGGTTGTATGTAGGATGATAAATCTATGTGAATTTAGGGAAAGCAATGACTTCTTAAAATCATGGTACATGCAGGTGACACTAGCTAATGAGTATCAACCATTTTATGGAAAAGCTGTATTTATGCTTGAAAACTATGAAAAAATATGAGTTTCAGGTGAAAGCACTGGCTGCTGTTTTATAGGAGCAGCATATCAGATGAGTACTTCATTTTTTACAGATAGATTGAACTGAAGATTATTCATGCTAGCATAAGACCTGTCACTTTTAGCTGCCCTTATGGAACAGATTGTTTTTCTGTGATGTATTTTGTCTTGCTCAAGGCTGATTTGCAGTAACACTTTAGGGAGCAGTCTGAGCTGGCTGGTGCCAATTCAAATAGTGAAATTTTACAAACTTCAGGAAATATTTTCATAAATGATTAAAAGGTATATTTGAGCTGTTTGTTGAGAGATGAATGATACGCCTTTGTAGGGTCTTCTATGTATCTTTCTTACAATATGATCTTACGATAGCTTGCTCTTGAATGCTGAGTACAAAAAGGAAGGCTGTTCATCTCTGAATGTACTTAAGCAAGCACACACTTAGATGACTGTCCAGGTTTCAACTGTAAGTTACTTTTCTTCCTATTAGCTGATGCATGGCTGTGTTTTGGCTTTAGTCTGAGAACAATGCTGATAATGTGCCGATGTTTTAATTGCTGATAAGTTATGCTTACTCTGATCAAGGACTCTTCAGTCTCTCATGCTCTGTCAGGGAGGAGGGGCACAAGAAGCTAGGAGGGAGCAGAGACAGGGCACCTCACGTGAACTAGCCAAAGGGGTATTCCATGCTGCAACGTGTCATGGCCAGTATAGAAACCAGGGAAGTCATCCAGAAGGGACCGATTGCTGCTCCAATCAGGCTGGGTATTGGTCAGTGGGTGGTGAACAATTGTATTGTGCATCACTTGTGTTTTCTAAGCTTTCAATTCTTCTCTTGTTATTTATTACTGTCATTATAGTTATTGTTGGTATTCTTTCTATTATCTCTATGTTGTACTTTAGTTATTAAGCTGTTCTTATCTCAGTTCTTTCCATTCTCCTCCCCATCCCACCTGGGAAGCAGGGAGGTGGTGAGCAAGCAGCTATGTGGTGCCGAGTTACTGGCTGGGGTTAAACCATGACAATGACTGTCAGCAAGACATCTGTGATAGACTTTCATTTGAACAAATTTCCTGCTGTTAGACAGCCTTGTTTGGCTGTGTGTATAAAAATAGTGGGCAGGACGATTTTTGTGTTCATTCTGAAGTGCTAGAACAAGAATGAATTCAAATAGTTACGTGTAACTAATTCAAATAGTTACGTGTATGTATCAAAACATGAAATATCTTTAACCGCTACAACTCTACATGTATATTGGTCTCTTAAGTTGCCAGTGGTGTGAATTTAGCTCTCAGCAGTTTGTTCACATTGCTAGTGTGGGGAAGACTCAATGTTCAAGACTTCTTCATTTATTAATTAGTTGACCGTCTCTTACCTTTTGCAGGATGGTGGTCATGACAATAGAGTAAACTGTGTGAGATGGCATCAAGACACCTGCTGCTTGTATAGCTGTTCAGAGGACAAACACATTGTGGAATGGAACACACAGACCTGCAAAGTAAAGTGGTAAGTGGTGCTGGTTTTCAGTCAGATTTGTTCACACTTGCTTTTGTGTATTTCCTCACTCACAGGTTTTAGTGAAGGCCTGTTGGAAATCCTGCACTCTGCTATCAAATCTTCATGCCCTCTGCACAGAATTGGCTGTTGACTGTTACTGTTCTGAGATTGGAAGTGGTTTTATTAAGGGATAATAATTCAAGTAGGGTTTCTTCATCTGTGTATTGGAAAGACTAGATGAAAGGAGTAACTGCGCTGAGAGATTTGGGTCCCTCCATACTAACTGTTATTGGGGCATGGGCTTCCACTCACTTCTGTGACGCTGAAAAATCTAAATTCTAGAAAATATCCTTGGAGATGTGGGGGAGCAGATACTGGAACACCAAATTCCAATTAAATCAGTTACATGCACCCAGCTTTCCTCAAAGGGCCTTGCTGTGATGATAACCCATTTGGTTTCGCGCACTACTGATGTGCAGTGAGGACAATTCCACTTGGCTGTCTGAGCAGGCTGCTACTATTTATAGTGTTGAGCAAAATAGAGTTTAGTGCAAAGTAACAAGATGTCTGGTGAAGGCATTTACTTTCTTTCTGTAATGAAGTCTGAACTGTTTTTAAAGAAGCAGCAAATATTTCTAGGAACGATCCTGGTTATATTACTTCAGTAAGAGCTTAGTGTATGATGGCACCTTGATACTTCTTACATTATTTCTTTTCTGTGACATTTCCTAGTGGTGTGTTATTCTTACTGCAGCTGTATTGGTCTGTTAAGGTTGGTGTGGGCACTTCAGACAGCCCATCATCAGTAGCCTCTGTGATTTCTCATGAAGAGAGATGTATCCTTCGGTTTTTATTAGGACCCTGACATAAAATAGAAGATGACTTTAAAATCTCCCTCTAGCTTTCTCTTTTTAGGATTGAACACATCCAGTTGCCTCACCTTTTCCTCTTGCATTTCATGCTCTAGTCCCTAAACCACCGTCACGGCCCTCCACTGGATTTAACTCCAGGGTGTCAGTGACTTTCTTCTACTGTCCCAAACTGGACATGGTGCTCAGATGCAGTTTCAAAAGTGTTGCACAGAGGAGAGAAACAGGTTTCCTTACTCATGTTCAACTCAGCCATGAGGACTGCAAACTTCTTTTCTACAAAGCTACTTTCTAGATGTTCATTCCTAGCCTGTACTGGGATATTTCCATCCCATGTGCAGGACAGTACATTTTCCTTTGAGTTCTGAGGTTTTGACAGCCTGTTTCTCAAGACTGCTGAGGTGCCCCTGGATAGCAGCCCTGCCCTCCAGCATATCAACTGCTCTCCTTAATTTGCTATTGAATGTGAACTTGTTACTTGCGCATTCTTTCCTGTTTTGAGGTCATTAATGAAGATCTGGGCGATACTAAATAGTATTGGGATGTCCTTAGTGAGTGGTGCTAGAAACTGGCCACTAGCTGGACTTCACATCAGTGATCACAACTGTTTGAACTCAGTGTAGATAGATCTTATCCCTCCTTGGAGTTCACTCAGCCTATGTATCTCCAATTTGTCTGCAAGGACACTATGTAAGACATTGTCAAAAGTGTTGCTAAAGCCAAGATACATGGCATACGTGGTTCTCTTGTTCACTGGATGCCTGTCTCATTAGGAAGGCAGTCAGGCTGGCTAGGCAAAATTTGCTGTTTGTAAATCTATGCTGGATGCTCCTAGTCACTTTTTGACATTTGTGTGCCTAGAAATGGCTTCCAGGTAGATTTGTTGTATAACTTTCCCTGTTGTTTCCTGGATTCTCCTTCCTGTGGAGATATTTTGTCTCTTCTCAAGTCATCAGAAATGTCTCCTGAGCTATGTGGCTCCTCAGACCGATAGCGTGGTCTTGTAATAGCTATGGCCTTAGCAGTTCTGGATGCATCCTGTTCAGTCTTAAGGAGTTGCATGTCTTGAACTTGCTATGATCCCTAATTTGATGTCCCTTTACTACGCAGATTGCTTTGCTCCCTCTGGCTCTCCTTTCATGGGAGGCCTGAGAGAATATGCTCTTCAGTGCTTTGTTTTTTTCTGTGTACTGAATGTGCCCCTACACTATTCAGGAGGAGGCTTGCATGTTCCTCAGTCACTGTCTTACTCCTGCTGATGTCCTTTTCTTGGCCTTTGTAGTCCCTGCTGGTTTGAACACCAGCTAAGTTTTGGCTAACTCTGTCCCTGCATGTCTAGACAGTGTATTCCTGTGTGTAACCTGTCTCCATTTCCCCCTTCTCTATTTCTTTTTTGTATTTCTGAGTTGGGTTAGGAGTTACCCACTTGGTCAAGCCAGCCTTCTGCAATAGGTGGTAGTTTTCTGCTCACCTTCACCTGTTTCAGAGGAAAACTCCATGCACTCATGCTATCCTTTTGTGTGGAGAAACCTCTTTCCTTTTTACCTTCCTGGCATGTCCCTGCTGAAGTGCCTTCCTAAAGGTTCATTAATTGCATCTCTCTTGTTGTGAAGGTTGTCCCACTGTTTTAATGTGATCCCAGCTCTGAAGCTGTGCAAGGACATAGAATTCATCCTGTTGATACCCCATAGCGTGTATGTTAGTGTACAGGTACTTGGGGTGGGTTCCAGTCATACTGCTTTGCTTTCTCTTGCTATGTTTTAAGTAATAGAGAATTTGAAGTAGGAATTCAGAACAGAATAGGCAAATAAAAAGTAAGTTGCCAGTTGTTCAGTATTAAATAACTTCATATTTTTGAGTTCCTGTGTTTTTCTGTAAACTGATTTGAAGGAGAGGAGCACGCACAGAATAGCTTTGACCACTTAGATTAGTATTCCTTAAAATAATTTTTGCCTTAAGTTGTCCAGTGTGGTTGTTCTGCATTTTGAGATGATGTTAATGAGTATTGTTTCTTCATGTTTCTCCACCTTTCTCCCTTTGTACAAACACCTCCATCCATATTCTAGCAAGTGGAAAGGCGACAATAGCAGTGTCACCTCTTTATGCATCAGTCCAGATGGGAAAATGCTGCTGTCAGCTGGTAGAACTATAAAACTGTGGGACCTGGAGACCAAAGAAGTCTACAGAGTAAGTAACTTTGTTGAATTAAATGCAAAAAAATACCCTTCTTGATTGGTGCCATTACGTATCTGGGAATGTCAGTAAGTTTGAGGAAACAACTGGCAATTTTGGGATTTCTGGAAGCTGTTGCTGTGATGATACTTTCAATTGTGGTTTCAACTTGCTGAGTGTTGAATGAGGACATTAAATTCCTTGGCTGTGTCTGAGCATGCTTCCAGCACCCCTTCTAAAGCCTGTACCAGAAAGATGGATGCTGTTCTCTTTCACTGGGTCCTTTTCTGATACCCTTCTAGCAGAAGAACTCAGTTCACCACAGTATTAGTTACTGCTGGTGTGGGTTTGTGCATGAGCTATCTGATGCTTAACATGAGTACCTCCTTTCGTAAATTTCATGTATCTGGTGGCATTATCAGTTTTGCTGTTAAAACAGTTGACAGGCATAGGAGCAAACCCCTTGATGTTCCTGAGCAGGGATCAGACATGAGCATATTACTGTGTTTTAACTGTTATGTGGACACGGCCATGTTCTCTTGCCTGCTAGCAGGTAGGACACAACTAGTCTCTGATCTCCTGGTACTTGCTGTCAGGTAGGTGTGTGCACATGTGCTGTTACTCTGGACTGGCTGGCACAGGGCAGTTATCATCTGTGTTTGCATCCTGTGAGAACCAAAACTGCTGTTTACAAAAGTAGATTGAAGAACCAGAGTTATTTTGGAGGGAGTGCTAGTTGTGTTGAACAGCCTCAGTGTGTCAGCAGACCAGTGCATTCATCTCACAGTGAGAATGCAACTAGGAGTCTAATTTCATTATAAAAGTTGAAGCGTAAAAGGTGGTAGTGGGGGAGTGCATTCAACACTAAGAGCAGTACAGGTGGATGCAATTTCTTTTGCGTGAGCTTAGTCCCAGTAAATTTGCTTTTGATTCCTCCTTTAACTTTTAAAATTCTGAAAAATATTTGAGGAGTCAGAAAAAAATTCCTTGAAATACAGAAATGGAGGGAAGCTGGTAAAAAAGTCACTGAAATGTCCTTGTTGACTTAGTAACACCTGAATCTTTCCTAATGTTCTGTCTAAACTAATGTTTTCATTTTTGTCATATGGCTGCTTATGGCAATTATTGAAAGTTTCTTTTTCTTCCCCCCTCTTAGAATTTCACAGGCCATGCTACATCAGTGTCATCATTAACGTTTACCACAGTGAAACCTATGAATGAAAATAAGCCCTTTGATGGAATTACAGGGCTTTATTTCTTGTCTGGAGCCATACATGACCGATTACTGAGTGTATGGTATGTAAGCTTTTTTGCACCTTTTGATTATGATCAGTATTGAGGATGTTCCTAAATCTGTGATTAAACAGAAGGTTAAGCAGAAAATGGGCACTCTGGAAAAATACAGTGATGATCTCTTAAATAGTGCTTTAAACTCTGATTGTTTAATGAAGATGTGAATTGTCTGTGTCTGAGCATGTTTCCAGTTGCTGTTTGAACCGCTAGTATATACCAAGAACATACTGTGTGATAGGCTTCCGTGTTCTTAGTACTTTACTGTAAGGTTTAAGCTAAGTTGTTTTGCTAAATTTCACTTGGGAGTTACTTTGCACTTGGAATTTAGAACACTTTTCTTAAGCTGAAATCTGAAATTACAGCATGAGTAATGCTGCTGGTGATTTATAGGCTCTATGCTGCTTCTCAGGTGCAGAGGGTGCTGTTTGTGCCATGGTAAATAATGTGAACTGTATTGTCTTCCAGGCAGGTCAGATCAGATAGGAAAGAAAAGAATGCCGTGATGTCTTTCACAGTAACAGATGAACCAATTTTTATTGACCTGACTGTATCAGAAGTCAAAGAAGAGGTAGGAGCAATAGTTTGTAACTAAACGTATTTGACAATTCTCAGTTGTCAAGTCAGTTTCCTTTTAAGGGTGTAAAGAAAGAAGTTTGGTAAGTATTTGGGTTCTGTTCTGCAGAGATGAGATTCAAATGGGAGTAAGGGTATTTATTACAGGTGTATTTATAAAGCGGATAGCTACTAAGTCTGAATTCAGTGTTTTCTCCAGGAATGTTGCTTGCGATGGCAGAAACATCAGTTATTTCCTATTTAGAACATGGTTCAAAAATGGTAGCTAGAACTTGGCAGCAAAAAAGACAGAAAAAAAATCGTTCAGAAAATGCAATTTGGGTATGGTCCTGTTTTTTTTCTGACCTCACGTGGCTTTGGCAGCATGACTGCGTTTTGAATTGGCTAGCTTTTAGTGAGTTAAAGTAGCAGCATACATTCCGCAGCTCTCTCTATTTCAGCAAGTACAAGTCTTTCAAGGGAGTTTTCTTATGAAAAATGTTAGTGTGTGAAACTCATTTACAGAGTGTTTCAATAATTATGTAAAGCATTTTTCTGCTGCTGCCTTTAGATTCCTGTTCTAAAACCAGTGTTTCATGCTATTTTTTCTGAGGTTCCCAGTTGTGCCTTCTTATTGCAGGTGTTGAAGTTAAGAGTTGTCTGTAACATACACCTGTAATTTAATTGCTCAGGGAACTTATCTCAGTTTCCTTCCTCTAAGCGTATTTACAGTGTCAGCACCCCTGTGGACCCATGCCTCTAGACATATTAGGTGCCTTATTTATTGACCTTTGCCACTTATCATGACATATGTCTGCTACTGTGCAGACTGTTCAAATTTGGTTATATCAGTAGTGATACAGTAAAATACAGTTACGAGTTACATTTTTGTCTCCTGACAGTTGTACTAAATGTTCCTGAGATCTTTGATCTTCCTTATGGATTTAGTTTTATCTTTAATGTGTTTAGTTACTGAAAAAAGTCAAATCGTAGCCATGCAACTGTTTCTGGATGTTCTGTATGTCCAGGAGGTTTGTCTTTTGATCTAATAAAAATCTTTCACTGTGCCTTCTTTCAGCCTGTGAAGTTAGCAGTTGTTTGCCGAGACGGGCAGTTGCATTTATTTGAGCATATCTTAAATGGGTAAGTTAGCATTCATCTTGAGGGTGTCTTTGGGGGAGAGAGCTGGGATTACTGTAAGGCAAAATCCAGTCTTTTCATGCTGCTGCCTTTGAGCCATTGTATTTGTTCACAAATCAGCCTCCAGCTGGTTCTTTGTCTTGGGATACTTAGTTGTTGGGGGCTGTGCTGGACATCAGTAGGACGTGTTGCTTTAGCCAAGATTTTGTCTGTGTACCTCATCTTAGCCAGTTGTAAAAGGTGTAAACCAGCTGAGTTTGCTGAGGACCTGCTGACAAGAAGTGCTTGCTTAAATGTGTGAGATATTGAAGTGTTTTAAGGGAATTCAAAAGAATTCACTTGGAATTCTTTTCTCTTTTTTTTTCCTTCCAGTTATTGCAAAAAACCCTTAACATCAAACTGTACCATCCAGATAGCAACGCCTGGAAATGATGGGGACGCCACACCAAAACCAGTCCCTATTCTGGCAGCTGCATTTTGCTCAGACAAACAGTCTCTGCTGCTTGTGTATGGAAACACCTTACAGCCCATCATAGAGAAAGTGGTATGTAAAACTCTGACTGGAAAGGTTTTGGGTTTTGTAATACGGACTGTGTACTGCTCTCAATGGGAGGGATTATTTTGACTTTACAAGTTGTGTTAACCAGGCAAAACTTACTCTTTCTCCCTTTTCTGGGAGCTGTGACTGTTGCCCCTGAGCTGTTCTAAAAGGTAACTTCTGTTCTTCCAGTCTTTCAGTTAAAATACAGCTTGACATTATTGCTGGCTGTTTCTTGCCAATTCAGCTGTTTCAATCAAAACCATTGAAACTGGCTTTAATACTGTTTAAGTGTACCTGTGTGATGCTCTTTGGAGAGCATAGAGATCTGTTAACAAGAGACAGATGTGCAAAGCAGCTGCTGTTCTAGAGTGAAAAAAAGTTACTTCTACTTTATAGCTCCAGAATTTGTTCTTATCTTTTAGTAGTGTAATGAATCACAGGAGTAAATCTCAAATATGTTAACTGCTTTTGTTCATGTCCTTCTAGTCTTTAAACACCACGGAATCCCATATATGTTTGATAAGGGACATCCAGAAAGTGTTGTCACTTAAAACAGATGTTGCCCTAACAAAGGTGAGCTTTGTGTGAAATGTGATTTTGTTGCTTCTCTTATTTACTTTGGAAATGGTAGAATTCATTGCTGTATTTTAAAATGAGGTTGGATTTCTGGATGGACCTGCTCAGAGCTGCAGTGGTAGATACAGATGTCTGTAGCACTCAGGCAGGTGTGGGTAAACTGTGCTTCATGGCTGCTGTGTGTCCTAGTATGCTCTCACACAGTTACCATCCTATAGCTCATAGCAAGTCCTGTTCTTAGCAGGTCTGCCTGATAGACAATACTGGCTGATGGTTTCTCTTCTGCCTGAGATCAGTCCTTCCCCTAGAATCTGTCAGTGTGTACACCCTCTTCAACGCTGATGGTTTGGGGTGAGGTTGGGATGGCCTTTGTTTTAGAGCCTAAATAAAATGAAACCAGGCCTTAAAGGCAATGCCCTTTTGGCTCTTTCTCAAGGTGGCCTTCACGTGTTCCTACTCACAGGGGTATGGCAACTGGGAATGTGAGCTATACACTTAAATGGCAGCAGTGTCCACTGAGGCCACTTGCCACTGTTTTCTCTCATGCTGGATTCCCTGGGGGTTTAGAGATGGACTGTGAAGTTCTTGATCAGTGTACAAATTCCATGCCTTGAAGATTTGAAAACGCCTTCTGTATCCATGAAGTGAGCAGACAGCGCTACTTTTCTAACCCTCAAGGTACCTACTGGATCTGGTGCTCCATCAGCCAAGCGGGACTTTGTGCTGATTCCTCAGTCCTGGAGCTGGTGGGTAGCAGAGCTGAAATACAGTGAGAGGTGTAGGAACTCCCTGGCATGCAGTGATGATACCCATCTTGGTTTCGCTTTTTGCTGAATTCCAGTGAAGACGCATTTCTCTTGGCTGTCTGAGCATGCCTTGTGGAGAGAAGGTCAGCAGTCAGTGTGGTGAGCAAAGAGGGTAGCATTCAATGCCATTGCTGTTCTACAGGAAAATTCTTGAGCTACCAAACCAATTTGTTATTATGGCTATTTTTTACTTCTACACACAGCATCTGGAAGTTGCTTTGCTCACTGTAGTAGCTTATATTTGTTTTGCTTCAGTGGGCATCCAGCATGCCTCCCACAGGTACTTGTTACATTGTGCTGCTACTCGTGATCAGTTCTTACCTTTCAGTAGAAGCTGGATTAATCTGCATGCGATTTAGGGGCCTGACTATTAATACATGTGGTATCTGTTGCTAGCAAACATACAAATATTTATTGTTGGATACAAACACGTGGTTTGAGTGTTGTAAGAAGAATGATTCACAGGTGATTCCAGTGAGACAGTTGCTTTAGTTAATTATGAAAACTACCTGACTTGTTTGACATTTTTAATTACTCTTAAAAATGTAGGATTTTACTAATATGTATATCAAGGAAATGGGTTGTAATAGGCTGGCTTTACTGTGTATGTGAGAGACTGGGATTAAAACCACTGTTTTTAAATGGGAAGCAAGCTCAAGATACTAGCAATTGATGCAAAATGTGATTATCTCTGTCTGCTAGGTAAAAACGCCTGTTATGAACTCGGACACCAAAGTGCTAGTGCCTGGAATTCCAGGACATAGTACAGCTGTCAAAACTCCAGCCTCAGGAAAGGAGAAGAAGAAAAACAAGAGGAAACCAGGAGAGACAGGGGTAAAGTGCTTCCCCTATTAAACACAACAGTAATAGAGAAACTAGAATCGTAAATCACTGTTATAACTTCTTCAGATGAAACTGAACTTGCTTTGTTTGGCATGGAAGCAAGCTTGGTGATGCCTTTTTGTATGAAAGTAACTTCCCTCTGCTCAAAACCTTTCCCTTATTTAAGCCCTGAGTGCCTTGCCTGTAGTTTTGCCATGTTTCTGCAAAACTTTGTCCCAGGCTTGTGTGTGTCTCTGTGGGCTAAGGTATATTACTGCTTTTGAGTCAAAACTTCTTCCCTTCTCAGGCTGTTCTCTCCCAGTACAAAATTGGTTTTGTTTTCCAGCATAAACCTGTTGGAAATCGTGAATTCCAGCAGAGGGAATGCTGTACTTTAAGTACTTAGCTTTCAGCTAAGTTTCTGAGAAACTGCACTTCAACAGCACTGCCTGTTTTTGTCGTCTGCAGGAAAGCATTGAAGAGCGCTTAGAGTCATTGGATATTGATGTGAGCAAAGTCAAAACTCCAGGTGGCCTTCCACAGACAGATAGCTTCGCGGTACTTTTGGTTCAGGGCTTGGAAAGCAACGATGCAGAAATCCTAAATGTAAGTGTTACGAAATCATTGTATGCTGTTTAATCTGTTCACTGAGACTTGTGAGTAGCCTTCCTGAAAGTTGGCGAGGCTGAGTAGTCAAGAACCTGTTGTTTGTCCCAGCTGCTTTTTGCTGAGTTGCTGCTCAAGGCAGTGATATTATAAACGGTGGTAGTGGTATTACTTCTTTTGTTGTCACCTACCTTACATTCTGGGTCAGTGCATGCTTAGTCTCCTGAGTGTACAGTTCCCAAGTAGATACTGTCTGGAAAATGCATTTATGACAACAGTTTTACTTGAGAAGTTTATAGTTGCACTTATACTAGGAGAAAATAATAGCTCAGGAGCAGGAAAACGAAATCTTAAGAATTTGGTGCTAAGTAGAAATTTCTTGTCACAGATACTGGTGAAAGGCATTTATTTACAGAAGTCAAGCACAGAAAACAGTAAAGGAAACTTTAATGTGTTCTGATGCTTCGCTAACTCTGATGCTTTTCTAACATGGGGTGGGCTAGAGGCAATGCTAGATTGTTTTGCTTAATCACTTGTTTTGTTAATCGTACCTGACTTGAAAAATGGAACTCCTTTTCATAGTAAATCTTGTTTTACTCATAATCCTCATCTTAGCTACAAAGGTAGTGGAGTAGAAAAAGATTTAAAGCCAGGAATTTTTGATTGTGCTCATTGCTCATATACATGTTCAAACTGAATGATTCTCTGATAATGTTTTTGCATTTTAACAGAGAGTGCTTAACACAAGAAAAGATCATGTAATAAAGAACACAGTATCCAGAATGCCTATACATGCTGTCATTCCCCTACTACACGAGGTAGGAGAGTGTGTTTCTTGTATGTTGTACCAGCCACGGTTGGTATGCAGTCTAGTCGGGGAAATTCCAGGATATGTCTCTCTATTTCTGGCAATTAAGTTGGTTTGGTAGTTTTACAGGACAGAAATTGTTCTTAATTTCTTTCTAATAGGCTCTTTTCTGGCTGAAGCTTAACCAAAGGACAAAGTGTCACTGTGAAAGCTAGGGAGAGCATTAGGCCATGTGATACTATATTAAATGATTATGTGAGGAAAAAGAAGAGGTAAGGATAAAGCTTGTTTAGTCCCTGGCAAGCAATTAGCATTGCATCTTTTTTTAAAACTATTAAAATGAGCACTAACTTGGAACATGACAATAGCAGTGCTAGCAAGAGCAAGTTGTATGAGCAATATGCTAGATACTTGTATGAGAGAGAGAAATAGAATATGTATTTTAGTGAGTTTAGATAGCACTTTGAAATTGAGGGGCAATTTCTTTCCCCCTTTGAAGATACCTCAGGTGACCAGTTTTTATTTTTAAGCTTTGTGACATCACTTAGTAATAGTTTTTAAAGGAGTTTGGCTTGTGAACTGCTTATTCAGTGATATTAAGTGTTCGACTCTAACCTCAGTGGATGGACAAACCCTCATGTGACTGTCTAATGCAGAGCTTGAGATTTGTTCTGCGAAATATCCTTTACCTGATACTACCTCCACTTATTTCCCCAACTTGTCTACCTTGTAGCAGCTGCTCTACTGAGCAGATATGGAGAGACAGAAGTGAAGGGATTTTCCTTCACTTGTTCCTGCCAGCTTTAAGTTTCAGTGGATGTACTGCCTCTTGAGTTCTGCTTTTGTTGTAATAATGAAGCTCAACTTCTGCAAGTCACCAGCCTGTGTATATGATGGTAGAGCCAGCAATGTAATACTGTGGGGCTTGACAGTCGTTAATGTTAGCAGGCTTCAACTGCCTGGAGATATTTCTACCCCAATATTGGGGCTGTTGCATGGATATGATGCTGTTTGTTTCTTTTTAACTCCCTATGTGTTATTTACTACTGACTATTTTTGTTCTTCTAGCTTACAAAAAGATTGCAAGGCAACCCATACAGGTAAGAGACAACTCAGCTACAGTGTAATTCACCTGAAACATCTCTAATGCGTGCATTATGCTCTTTCCCTCCACCTATGTGACTGATGTCCATAGTAACTAATTAAACTGCAGCATCTTGAGGTAAAATTTCTCAGCTGATTGTGGGTGCAGAGAGGAACTTGTATTAAGGCAGTGCTTTGTCAGCATGGCTGAAATGAAATTAAAAAGAGAAAAAGGTATCTGAAATCAGCATATAAATCTTGAGAATGTATCTGAAAGCCCTAAATATCATCACTGTGAACCTGACCAATATCTGAAAAAGATAACTATTTGATGTATAGCTTGTTTGGTTTGATTTTCAAATACATTTAGAAATCTCTTGGTGGTGTGTTGAACAAAACCAGCCCCCTTCCAGTCATCTTGTTGTATTGCTGTAAGGATAGCTTTGCAGAGACTAGCTGTCCTCAAGAGTATTGTTTGGTTTGGTTTGATTCAACAAAAATTCCCTCTTTGTAGGAGGAGAAAAAAAGTACTATGCTTTGATCTTTTATTCATTGAAGCTTCCTATAAAACATGTCAGAAACACAGACCCCTGAACACGTGTAGTTTAATCCTCACTTAAAAGTCTGGGGTTTTCCAAACAAATAACTTAGATAGGTATCTTATCTGGATAGACAAACTGTTACATTTCTACCTGAATTTATGTTTTTATATAATGAAAGAGGAGCACTTTCTATAGAACCGTTTAACATGTAGAAGGTGAATCTGGTGTTTCTCTGCCAATATCTCTTTGATATTGTTTAC